GCAAGGTCTCTTTTTACCTTGGAAGATCACATAGTCACAGGTTGTGAGGGTTAGGATGTAGACAATTTGGGGGGCCATTGTTCTGTCTACCATAGATGGAGTTTATTTATGATGTGCTTGTCCACTGGGCAGTTGTATGGATTCCTGAGTACTGCATTGGTCAGCACTGGCATAGCTAGCCTGTCCTGTTCACCTGGACCCTCTGCCTACACCCTAGCCTTAGCCATTTTTTTTCTTTGTGATCTCCTGGCATAGCAGGCAGCTCACTTGACCTGCTGGTACCTTAACTGTAATCACTGTACATATTCTACCTTGAACATGTTGGGGTGAGAGGCAACATCATGTATCAATTCAGGTCACATGATAAATAATAATAATAATAATATCAGAAAAGGTTCCCCCATCAGACACCTGTCTACCATGTGGCTGCTTCTAAGCTTTGCTGCCACATTTCTTCTATAGCAGAAACACTGTGAAGGGAGACAACCATTGTTTTCTTAGGGATTTTCATGTCTCTCCCACCAGAACCATTCCCTAAGCTTCAGGCTTGAATACTTCCACAACACTATTTCCAACAACAGTCCAGGAACTTATACTTGGCCAAGCAATGTACAGGAGACACTGTCAGATCCTAGCTCAGTCACCATCATTTGTCACTACTGCAGTGGACCCTTCCCCTCCAGGCTACTCCCCCTCTCATTTTTGTTCTCCCCTTCTCCATCCCTCCCTGTTTTTCCTTCTCTCATCCTTTTCCCTACATCTCCATCTACTTTCCTTTTTGTTTCCCTCTTTTCTCTGTTAAACCCATCACTATTTCACTCCCATGTTTCTCTCTCTTCCTCAGAGAGCTCTTTTAAAACTGTGAATTAGATCATGTCACCGCTCCTTTAGTTAAAACTCATTAGTGGCTTCCACTGCATTTGGAATAAAATCTAATTTCCTCAACATGACCTTGTGTGATGGGGCCACCACCATCTAACTCTTCAACCCTATCCTAAGCTGCACCTTCTCCATGCTTCAGCCATACTGGCTTCTTTTCGTTCTTGGAATGCAACAAACTCTTTCAGTCTTGGCAAAAATTGTTCCCTGTGCATAGAACTCTTCCTCTTCATTCTCTGGCTAATTCCTACCCTTCTTCAAATTCATGTTTTTCCTCCAGCAAAATTGTTTCTAATCACTGAATCTAAGTCTAAAGTAGGCCCCTGTTGTTTCTGTCTCTTGTGGCACTCTGTTCTTTTCTTCAAAGCAATTATCATGATTTAAAATCATGTATTCATTTGTGTATTTGTTATTTGCAATCTTCTCACTCGTTATATTAGCTCCATAAGATTTCTGTTATGTTCATCACCATGTCTCTTGCCTATGGTGTCTAGTTCAATAAAGGGAGTAAATATATGCTTGTGGACTAAATGAGAGAGTGTGTGACACATGAAAAAGGATATAGCCCAAACAGTGATATAATACCAGAAATAGGCAAAATTGGTAGAGAGGACATTGAAGAGACAGAAGGAATGGGGCAGAGGGCCCATGTTAAATAAATTCCTGAAGACACATTCTAGCAAAGAGAATTTCCAGTTACAGATTTGTTTCTGAGCATCCTCCTAATTATGAAGTGGGAATTTTAAAGCTTTTACTTTCATTTGTAATCATACTTATGTTAGTAGAGGAAGCTTTCCAAATTATACTTAATGATGTCCGAGTATTAGATTTGTTTTCTTATCTCTTTTTAATTTGATAAATTGTATTAAACTATAGTTATGTCTCATAATATTAAAAGCAACTCATTTATTAAGTGCTAGCTGTGTGTCAGATACTTTCTATGTATCATCTCATTTAATTTTTACAACAGCCATAAGAAGGAGGTGGTGGTAGCCCATTTTACGTACAAGAATACTGAGGCTCAGAGAAGTTAACTACCATAAAGCTAGTATAAGCTGGAACTGGAATTCAAGCCAGATGTATCTGATACTTTCTGCTACCACAGTGTTGCCTTTATGCTAAGTTATTTTCATACACATTAAAAATATATGAAATGTGTTTGGTATAGATATAGCACTTCTATTTTCTTTATTAGGCAATTAGGAAACATTTAACTCAAAATTTTAAAGGTGAGAAACATTTTTTTCCCTGAATAAATCAGAAGAATCTGTTCTTCATCTGTTTTTCTAAGTGAAGCATTAAGAATGATGAAATTTGTTTTGACAGTCAGAAAGGCATACAGACTAGTATAAGAACACCTGTGTTCTCACCACTTATCTTGAAATAAAATATTACTAGTACAGTTGAAGGGCCCCTGTGAATTCCTCCCCAGTCTCCTTTTCCACTTTCTCCTCAGCATAACTATAACTTTATCATACCCTGGAAGCTTATGTTTCTTGACGGTAATCTGGTGGCTGAGTGTGGAATGGATATGTAGTACAGTGATAATTAGTGTTATTCTTTTTCTGAAGAAACTTACCTTATTTCTTTGCTTTTTCTTGCCACTCTTCCTGTTTAACCCCAGATTTGTATCAAGCTTGAGCCATGACACTTTGAGCTCTCCCCATCATGCCTTATAATGTGAGAGAGGGATGAAAATGTACTATGTTTCAGAGCCTGTAGCTTAGGGACCAAGGGTCAGTTCAACGGTTGACTTTTTTCTCCATTATAATCTGAAATCATAATGAAATGAAGAGCCTTACTGCAAATAATCTTGAGAATTTCATGATGGAAACATTTTAAGATGAGTGGATTAGGCACAAATCCTGGTCAAGTTTCAGGTGGATGAGTACATTCTGTGTCTCTAACATTTCCCCCAGTCTTTAAAAGTTAAGCATAATATTCTTAACTTAGGGTCCATGCATAGCTTGCCTTGTAAAAGATTCCCAGCATGGTTAGAGAATAGTTTGGACTTGATCACAGGAGAGGTCTTTTTCCCCTCCAAATCTAAGGGAAAAGACTTCCCCAACTGGCAAAGAATTGAAGTAGATGTCTCCCAAAAGACAGAAAGATGAAAAGAAAGTAAGGCCAATAATTTGCTAATTAAGATGCAGCTCCAAAAATGAAGTGTTACTGGTTCAGTATAATTAGTTTATATGAAATAAATAGAGATTAAACTTTTAGGGAAAGATAGAAAAGAAGAAAATAGGTAATAAAATGAGTGAGAGGCAGAGGTTGTGATTGCAATATGGATTGGAACTGGGGCTCAGAAGCTACTCTTGGGATTAAATGCTTGTCACAAAAATGTTTTAGAAAGGCAACAATGAATGACTAGAAAATATCAAAAACTGGCTTAGTATCTGTTAACTCATCACTTAACTGATGCACTCATCAGTTAACTGATGATTGACTGATAAAGTCTCATCAGTTCATAAAAGTTTTCTAATAAAAGCATATTTTCATGTTTATAATAGCTTTTCATATATGAATATACATTATAATTTATCTGAGTACTATTTTATTAAAGAATTTCTTTTTTAAAGGGAATACAGATGGATATATTTTTGTCATCTTAAAAGTAGTTCTTTTTACTATGTAAGAAGAAGGACTCAAATATATATGTGTGTGTATATAAAGGCTCTTTTGCTAAAGTTCTGGATGTTGTGCATAAATTCTTTATTTCTTTCATAAAACTAATTTTTTCAAATTTTCCACAAAAAGTGCAACTACTAAACATTCTTGTGATAGCTTCTTTGTGAATGTGTCACTGTTCATGATTTGCACACGCCTTATAATTTAGGCTTTCTTTTGTTTTGGGTTGGCAGTTCCAACTGTTAAAGCTCTTGTCTGATTATGTGGAACTCCATTTTAATGGGAGCAGCTTTTTTGCTGCACTTTTAAAAAATGGTCTCGGAAGCTTCTTACTGTGGATCTTTGTTGGAGACAAAGGATTATTTATGCTAAAGGAAAATGTATTCCCCACTGAATTAGCTCGTGGGAAGCATAACAAGCTCATTAGTAATGCTCACTTGTACTTTGGCCTTTTGCTGTGGTAGAGAGAAGGAAAAATGACATCAAAAAGGACATTCTGTTGTCTTTTGCCTTCCCGCAAAGAAAATGTGATATAATATTAGGCTTTTCAGTAAGGCATAGCTAAGGTTCAACTTTGGTACCAGAAGAAATGTTCCTGAAAGGAAAGTGGTATGTATAGTTGGCACTGGGCATAAGGTATGTTTGCTATAACTTAGAGGAAAAATAACTTTTCCTTGGAAAGTGATAGCATTATAGCCTTATAATTGTACATTTTTTTCTAGAATGTTTTAGTGGTGGTTTAAAATAAAAAATAGTCTAGCTTATTATGCTGCTATAAGCAATCAAAAATCCTAGGTTTTATGTAGTCTATATTATTCTGAATGTTTTTAAGCTCTTTACTTTTTTTCCTCTGAAAACACATTAAAGAATTGCATTAACCTAATTTAATTAATTAAAGTGTTTTTTTATTATAAATTTTAAGGATTGCACTTTGGAGCTAAAATTGCTATTCTTTTTGTTTTCTGTCTTTGAAAATTATTATAGGAAGACATTGAGAATTTTTGGTGCACAGTTAAAATTGATGTTTATCTTTATTACCTTGTCTAGTAGAAGAAGCTTATGAGATCTCCATGAAGATAAGATGAAAGATACTTGACTTTCAGTATCAAGTTGTGATATTGTTGTTGTGATATTTATATTTATATTATGTTAACAGGGGAAAGTAAGACTCTGGGAGACTTTTATATGAGCTAATTTTTTTTTAAAATAGCCAGATGCTTCAGGAATTACTTTGATTCTAAAACCAGGAACTACATATTAAAGTGTGTCTCAAATTTTCCTCTTTCAAATAAGGAGTACCTTTATGAAGTAAGAAACAAGGAATGATTAATGAATTCTCTTATAGTCAAACTATTCTAACTAGAAGAAAAAGTTTTAGGTTTTTAGTCAAATAGGAGAATAAAACACATTCCTAAATCTTGTAGTTTGGGGGTTTTGAGGAATAGGAAAGCTGTCATTGTCTGCATGTTAATATTTTATTCTGTTTTCAGAAAGCAATTTCATCTCGATATAGATGACCATGCAGCCTGCAATTCAAGTAAGTGCTTTTCTTCTAAAAAAAATATATATAAGATTAATCACAAAATGTTTTTATTGTGCTAGTTTTTTAAATCATCACAATTTAGTAACAGGTATACTATATTTTGATTTTCTAGTTCTAAAAAAAATTTAATTCTAAGCTTTCATTTATACTGCATTTTTGAGAATCAAAAATACCCTAGGGTTGGTGGGTCCATCTTATTTATAGCACCCTGGGAAAAGAATGGGAATATTTTGTAGTTTTTTCCTTATTGCAATTGAGTATATATTTACTGTTAAAAGAGATATTGGTGAAAACAAATACAAGTTTTTCATTTTAGATAATTGTTCATGTGCTCTTCAAATGCCTGTATAGGACTAGGCATTAAAATTTTAAAGGGTGGTTTTTTGTTTGTGTTTTGGTGGAGGGCAGCAAGCTGGGGGTAATGAGACAAACCAGAATAATCTTATATTTGAATGATTTCTAGAGTTGTTGTTTCCTGTACTATTCTTATATCCTAGTAGTTTTCTTTCTTTTGATATAAGTAGAATAGGACTGAATATTAAAGATAAAAGTCACATTGAAGGTTTACCTAGAAAGATGCAAGCAGCTGATAATAAAATTTGCCTTGGCAAAGTGAAAACTTGAGAATCAATCAGATTTCAGTTTTGATCGTAGTTCTGCCACTCTGACTGTGAGGTTCTGGCAAGTTATTTTACCCCTTTGAGTCTCTGGTTCCTTTCCTCTAAGGTGAGGATAATAGTCCTTATTTTGCAAGGTAGTTATGAGGAATCAATGAGCTATCCTGTACAAAGGGTATTAATAGAACGTATATTGCCTAGTAAGCACTTCAGAAGTTTGATTGTATCATTGCTACAACAAAATTATTCAGATATATAACTGGAGATAATACCTGTGTTATGAAATTCTGTTTTTCTTTCATTTCTGTCTTTCATTTCATTTCAATTCTTTCACTTTTCTTTTCATTTCAATTCTTTTCATATTTCTTTAAATAAGAGGACTTATCAAGATAACAGTGGATGGCAGCCTAGAGAAGAGAATTTATTTATCAAGTGCTTAAGAACAACCCTGCATGTGATCCTGCTTGTATACCTCCCTATGCTATGCAGCTATGTCCTGCTCTACTAATAGCTCCATCATACTTTTCCTTTTGGGACTTGGAAGTCCATCACAGTCTCCTGAAAGGTCTTATTCTTCCCCTTTGGGTCTTCTCACATCCTCCTCCAGTATGCTCAGAACTCCTTTATTACTCAAAACCATTTTTTTTTTAGAAACAGAGTCTCACTCTGGTGCCCAGGCTAGAGTGCCATGGCATCAACCTAGCTCACAGCAACCTCAAACTCCTGGGCTTAAGCAATCTATCTGCCTCAGCCTCCTAAGTAGCTGGGACTACAGGCATGCACCACCATGCCCGGCTAACTTTTTATACAGATAATTTCTTTCTATTTTTAATAGAGATGGGGTCTCACTCTTGTTCAGGCTGGTCTTGAACTCCTGACCTCAAGCAATCCTCCCATCTTGGCCTCCTAGAGTGCTAGGATTTCCAAACCTGTTTTTGATCTGATTACTTCTATTCATCCCCTTTTTATCTAAGTCTCAGAAACATCATTAGTTTTTTTTATTATATTTTCTTTATTCCTTATAAAGTGTTTTTTATCATTGCCACATTGACTATGTGGGTTTTTTAAAAAATTATTTCTATACTAGTGACTATTGATATTTTCTTAACTTGGTGTTTTTTTTCATAGTTTTCTTTTATGGTTTCATGAAACCTTCTTTGATCTAGATTCTACAGATTTATCTTTATTGATTCTTCTCTGAGAGTACCCTTGACATCTCTCATGGAGATTTTTGCTTGTCTCCTGCTGAACATGAGAACTTTCCAGAATTTTCACCTCTTTCTCTGCTAATTATATTAGACAGTTACTTAGTTACTCATAAGTGCCTTGCGGAGAATAGACATCCAATAAATAGCTATTATCAATTGACTTCTTATTAATTTAACGTATTATCTTCGTTGCCATTCATCTATATCCCTTGTTCTGATTAGCAAATAAACATACATTCTAAAAGTCAGTGAATAATAGTTGTTAACCTCTTCTAGGTCATAATCCCCTTTTAGAATCTGACAAAAGCTATGAACTCTCTTTGAGAAAAGGCCCATTCATACATAGGCATAATATTTTGCCTAAATGTAAGCAAGTTTATGTACCTATTAATAAATTGATCTGAGGACTGCCTATGGATTAAGATTCTCTTAATGACAACATGATAGCTTTCAGCATGTTTGAGAACAACCTTTATACATGTACTTTTTGTTAGTATCTAACCCTTAACGTTAATATGTTACTGACTAGCCCAGGTGATTATAGAGTCTTCAGCTTACAATAATAGGAAAATCCAACCTGCACTCTTCTCTAGAATGTGGCAAGAAGTATGAATGACTTTTGTAAATGTTAGCATCTCCATTTTCACCCATGATTTTAAAAACCACCCTCCTAACTCGTGCTCATCTTTTCTTGAGAAACATTTGCACCTGCTCTGCCTTTTTTTTTTTTTTTTAGCTCAAATAAAGGACAAATAGCATATTCCATTAACCATCAAATATGATGCATTTTAAGATGCATCTTGATTTTAATGGTACAAAGTGTCATTTGCTAATGTTTATTCTTCAATTATTCAACAAGTATTTTTGACTGAATACTATATGCTAAGTATTATACTGAGTCCTGGGATTACAAACGGAAATAAGACATGATTATGAAGGGAAGAATTAGTAAATCTTTGCTATACTCCCTTGGAAAAAATAATTTTAAGAGCATTTAGGGAAATTAATAACATTTTATCTTTTTCCTATTTATAGGATCCTCATATATTTAGGATATCATTTGCCAATCCTTACTCTCAATTCCTGAAATAATGTCCCTCGAATAATTTATGTTTCTATTTGTCTTTGACTGGGTATTTTTATTAGGTTTCACTACTTCTGCATGCATCTTGTGTTTATTCATTTTCTTTCTTTTCCTTGGGATTAAAAAAATGTTTGTTTCTCCTCATAGGAGATTAGAAGCCCTCCCCCCCTCCAAAGTTTGTCTGAATTATGTACGGTGTTGCTATGACTTTTGATTTAGTATAGTAAGACTTGTTTCAAATGAACCTCAATACGTTTATTTTAAGGGGAAAATGGTCTATATTTTAAAATCAAGAAAGAACTAGATTCACTTGATATTCCCTTTTACTTTTTTACTCTTTTTTAAAAAAGGTTTTAAAAACATTTTAAAGCAGTCACAAACCTACGGAGTAGTTGTTAAGTATAGTACAAAGAAATTTGTTTGCCTGAGCCATTTAAGAGGAAGTGCCAATCTAATGCCCCATCACTTCTGAATATTGTAGTCATGCTGTGGTCCCAACCCCTGCTGTTGTCCACACCCTCCCTTCTGTAGCCTGTTAGGAACCTGGCCACACAGCAGGAGGTGAGCGGCCAGCCAGCAAAGCTTCATGGCTTCATCTGTATTTATAGCCACTCCCCATTGCTGCCCATCCACTTCCACTACAGGCCCCTGCATCACCCCCATTTGTGGAAAGATTGTCTTCCATGAAACTGGTCCTTGATGCCAAAAAGTTTGGGGACTGCTGATATTTCTTGAAAATGAGGACATCTTACACAACCATGATGAAATAATCAGAATAAGGATATTAACATTGGTACAGTAGTACATTTAATGCTCAGTCCACACTCACGTGCTGCCTGTTTTCCCAATAATATCCAATTCAGAATCGTTGTCATCCTCTTTAGTCTGCATTAGTCTGGAACAGTATCTCAGTCTTTGCTTGTCTTTAATGACCTTGATACTTTTGCATATTTCAGACCAGCGTTTTATAGAATGTCCCTCAGTTTGGATTTGCTTGATGTTTTCTTGTGATTAGATTCAGGTTTATGCATCTTGAGCAGGAATATCAAAGAAAGGTGCTGTGTTTTTTGTCACTGCCTCCCATCAGGTGGCATATAATTTTGATTTGTTCCATTATTGATAGTATTCACCTTCATCACTTAGTTAGGATGCTGTTTGTCAGGTTTCTTTACTGTAAAATTACTTTTTTTCCCTTTGTAGTAAGTATTTTGTGTACTTAGAAACTATAAATTCCATTTCTTTTTTTGTCAAAATCTGTTTATTCATTTGTTTATATCTGTATGGGCTCATAGTTATCTATTTTATTCAATGTGGTATAATCTATTTCTATCGCTATTTATTTTGATGCTCAGATTACCCTCGATTTAGCCAATAAAAGTCCCTTTAGGCTGACTTCTGTGTCCTTTTGACATTCTTTGAGAATCTTTGCTTTTTGGTAAAAGATATTCCAATCCAACACCATTCTGGTTTTCTCTCCTTCCATATTTGTACCTCTCTTCTCTGGCAGTGGGAAATCTGGCTCCCATTTGATAAATCCCCAGTTGATATCCTCCTATTGTCACTGCTGTCCTCTCCCTGGGTAGATGCTCAGCTCACTTGGACTCTGGCACCTTGTACGGGGACATTTACCCTCCTCCCCACGCCGTGGACGGCCTCTTTATCCTGCTCAGGGTGTGACACCTTGCGTAAGGCTGTCCCCATACATAGATGCCCTCTCACCTCACTCAAACTCTTACTCTCTATTCCAAGCCACCCCCATGAGAACCTTCTAGTCACTCACTTGGGTTCTAATAATACCCCTTCCCGAATTGTTCAGGAAAGGGAAGGACGGGGGCTATTTATACCTTTTTTAAAAAGTGACTTCATAATAACATGATCACTTCTTTCACATTTGAAGAAGTGGTATAGTCTTTTCTATAAATAATTTTATATTAAAGCATATCTAATTGTATTTCAAATTTCTCAAGTGTTGATTTGATAGTATGTTTATGTCAATTTTTATTCTAAAGCAGGGATTGGCCAGGTAATAGATTTTTTAAGCTTTGTGGGCCAGTAGGCAAAATCAAGATATTATCTAAGTAATTATGTAATCACCACTTGAAAATGTAAAAACTATTCTTAGCTCCTGGGCCATATAAAATCAGGTGACAGATCAGATTTGCCCTGTGGACTGTAGTTTGCCACCCACTTGTTTAAAACCAAAATATTTAGAAATTGTTTTTTTAACAGGAGAATGTTATTTATTATGATGTAGAGTTTACAAAATGTCACTTATGCATTCATTTATTCATTCATTTATCCATTCACTCAACAAATGTTTATGGAATCTCTGCTGTCTGTTAGGCTCCATGCCAGATGCTACAAAGATGTATTTTGTTTTCTTTCCTTTCCCTTTCTCCTTTCCTCTCCTTTTCTTTGGAGTTTATTAATTTGCTGGAAAATGAGGAGATTGGCACACTCCTGTCTCAAAGTACCAATGTCCTGTTTCTGAGAAGAAGTACAGAGCTTTTAAAAGTTCTGATTAACCCCACAAAGATGCATTTTCTAAGGCAGGAATCATTAATCCAGTTTACAGCTAAAATGCTAAGACTGGTCAAGTAACTCGTTAAACTTACTCAGCTAACAAGTGAAGCAAAAATGTTATTTGTTGAATTGTATCCTCTTGGCTTGATAGTAGAATCCATTTGTTAGTTAGGGGTTCACTTACATTGACCACGGTTTTGACTACTGAAAATGTCTCAAGTATCTAGGACTATTGTTTGCTTCTTATGAGCTGCTGCAGTTTTGTCTATATGTCTATTATATATGGTTTATACTTCATCATTTAAATCTAGATGTGGATTATGATGATTTTTAGCAAAGGTTGCATTCATTCAGTTGATTGGTGTTTTCTCTAGGTATGGTTTGGAGAAGACCTGCCTCTAAGTCCACGGAGTCCTCTGACTCCCAGACACGGACCAGGACTAGCTAACGTGTGTCAGTATGACGAGTGGATAACTGTCAGGCATGCCGCCACTCTGTTGCCCATGCAAGAAGATCTGTCAATCTGGTTATCTGGTTTATTAGGTAAGGGTTGATACAATACCCCAAATTGGATTCTCTTATTCAATAACTGTTTACTTAGAGCCTTACTGTTTGTCAAGGAGTGGTTGTAATACATGTTGGGATCTCTAGTAAGTGAGGTATTCAATATCCTTGTTCTTACCAAGTTTACATTCTAGTTGGGGAGGTATTCTGATTCACCCTGAATCTTGTGTCCTGAATATTAGGAAATTTGAAGCTTAACTGAAGAGGTCAGTAAGCTTTGAATAATTAGCATTTTCATAGTTAACATTAAAATCATTTTTAAAAAGTGTACAGGTCTTTTTTTTTTTTTTTTTTTTTTACTGATTTTCCCACCTAATCTTATATAAGGCATGAGACTGTGCATGAAATGTATACTGTAGTTCAAATGATTACTATTTCTGAGGCTTTGAGGGATAAAGGCATATGAAACCTAAAAGGAAATGTCAGGTTGGAGAATGTCCAGCATCATAATTTTTACTCTACTGGAGAATATGATTAATGCTCCAAACTTTCTTCCCAGAAAAGAAATTCACTTTAAATAAAGAATTCATGTAGGATTCCAGGGTTTTCATAAAAAGGAATATTCTAAAGGTAAATATAATTACCTTCCAAGGTAATTATACATTCACCAAACACTCACTTTTGTTGCATATTAGTTGATTTGGATAATTTTTAAAGTTTATTATGCAATAATATGCTTTTAAAGAAGGTATTTCAGAGGTGAAAAGTTAATATTCCCTGGATATTTGTTATAGTATTATCTTTAATTTTTAAATTGCAACAAAGTCCATCTTATTATAGGGAATCTTTTCTTTGTATAAGCAATATTTATATGCAGTGAATTTATTTTATTCTAAATAAAATCAAAGAGATGTTAATTTTATTTTTTCTACAATTCTATATCACAGATATATTTGTTTCAGTTGTCTTTTATTTAACTTGACATTATTTGCTGTTTTGACTGTACCTTCTAAGAGTGAATACTTGGAACCTGATCTGATATTTATTTAGTATTTCAGCTGTAATCTGATTCTATTTAGTTAAATTTTAACCATATTTTTTACAGAATGTGACCATATTTGAATTTACTGTTTCTAGAAGAATCTTAACTTTGAAATATGTTTTTAGGCATTGAAGTTAAGGCAGAAAAATTATTGGAAGAACTTGATAATGGAGTACTGTTATGCCAACTGATTAAGGTTCTTCAAAACATGGTGAAAACATGCAACTCTGAAGAACCAGAGGTAAGTAAATTTTTGACAATATTGATTTTATGTCTTGGTACATATTAATTTGTTTGTGTACATTTCTTATCATTTCTACAAGGTTGTAAATGTCCACACCAGTTGGCTATGAGACCTTGAATGATTTACTTAACCTTTTTGAGCATCCGGAAAAATGTTCTCTTTTGTAAAATGCAGGTGTTAATATTTATCTTATAGAACTTATTTGTGAGAGTTCAGGGGAATTAAATGAGATAATGTACAGGTGGTGTCTAGCATAGTGCTTAATACACAGTAGCTTTCCTGTGGCCAGCTCTTGAGAACAATAATTGTGCCTTCCTTCTAGGATTGTTATAAGGGTTAATTGAGAAAAGAGCTCATGATGGTTCCTGGCACACAGGTAGCAGCTGCTGTTGTTATTATTATCTTCTTCATATCCTCCATATGCTGCCTTAATGGTAAATTCAATAAATATTGGATTGAATCAAGAATAATTTTTTTAGATAGTTCTTCTTCATTGACCCTAAAGTCATAATCTGAAGTAGATAAGGTTTTTTCTCTTTCATCAAACGTAGGTGTTTTCAAGAGTTTGGGGTCTGGACACTTACATACTGGTTGGTGGAAATATGCAGTGGGATATATATCACATTGAAAATAAAGCACATTCTTTGATATATAATTCTACTTATAAGAATTTGTTCCAAGAAAATAATCACAAATTCACAAAAATGATAGCACAAAAAAATTAGGAACAACTTAAATGTTCATCAATAAAGAAGTTGTTAAAAATTAATTATTATACCTATACACATTGAAATAGTATATATTTGTTAGAAATGATTATTTAAATCTGTTATTTTCAACTCCAAAAGACTCCTACAACCTATTGTTAAGTGTATATATGCATATGCACACAGAAATCAAATTGCAGAATAGCATGTTTATGTGACATTTTGTAGGTATAGGTGTGTGAATAACTGTGCACAGAGCTGTCTCACCAAACTGTGAGAGGATTTCAGTTGATACTAACCTTTGTACCTTTGTATTTTGCTGTTTTTCTTTTTTTGCGTGTGCAATGATTATATATTCTGTATTCAATCAGAAAAAACTCATAAGGTATTTTAGTTTTGAAAATTAATAGCAACAGGAAGGATATACAGGGAACTGGTAATAGTGGTTTGCTCTAGGGTGAGAGAGGAACTACGTGGTAGAGGTGGGAGGAAGACATTATGTCCTACTCTATGTATTGTGTAAAAACATCATATTCCATGAATTGCTTATTTAATTAAAAATTTCAAGTAAAACAAAATAAATCCCTCAGCAGGATTATCTAAATACTCTTGGGCCAGAAAGTAAAAAAATTAAGATTCTATGAAACTTAGATCATTAATTTTCAAAGAACTTGAATTAAGAATGGGCAATGACTTCCCTATTTGATAGTCTCAAAAAACTCAGAACCATCTTTATGAATCTGCATGTAAGGAAGTAAGCAAAAAGGAGTGTCTGTTAACTTTTAGCATGGCGGTGATTTTATGTTTGTATTGAATTATATGTGAAGAGACATAGCATATACCAGATTGTTTTCCTAGTAATCGTTTTCTGTAATATACTTTAACGTAAAGTAAAATAAGATAGTTTTTGAAGATATCTTTTTTTCCCTAAAGAATACTGTTTAGTTACATGCAATGCACTGAACATTTATTTAGTATATTAAAATGAATATCTAATGAAAAAATCCTTGATTTTTCTTGAAGTTATTCTTTTGTCTTTTCTAGAATTTTCCAATGGGAAAGGTGCCCTGTAAGAAGGACGCTGCATCAGGTTCATTCTTTGCCCGAGACAATACTGCAAACTTCCTTCACTGGTGTAGGCACATTGGCGTTGATGAAACTTATCTCTTTGAATCTGAAGGTTTAGGTAAGTGTTGTTGTCGTCGTTGTCTTTAATGTTTTAGGATGCTTTTATATCCCTCACTTCTAATTTTCTTTCCAAATAAGGACTCAAATGTCACATCTCATTTTCCTAGGAAAGTTTATACTTTAAATATATGTAAAACAATTGGAGAATTAGATACTAAATCAAATATATTAAGCTTTTCATTTATGGTTGAAGATTTTCTGTATCTAGAATGCCCCCCAAATACTAAATAAGTTGGCTGCAGGAAGTTTCTGGACTAATGCTTTACTAATTAATGTTTTCATCAAGAATTACTCTACCAAGACAAAATTACTAGTAATTTCTCTTTAACCAGGCAATTACAGAAACAACAAAAAGCCTAATGATGTGTAGTCATAGTGTTTAGATTTACCTCGTAAACAACAGCTGCCAATTCAATTATCTACATGGATTAATATTTTTGACAGTTCATTTTGAAAAGTCATGCTTTACTGAAGAATTATTGATATACTTTCTCCTTTAAGTCAACGGAAGTATCTGTGCATTGAGTAAATTGGTAGCTAAGTCTTATACCATATATATATGTGTGTGTGTGTGTTTCAAAGCATTTATATATGTATATACATATCTGTGTACACACACACAGCGAATTTATACTCTGTGATGGGAGCAGTAGCATACCAAGGGCGGCGGCTGTGGGAGTCATTTGCCCTGGTAGAGAGAAGTTTTATCACTGACGTTTAGAATTGCTGGTTCATGGTGATAATAAAAAGCCAACTGACTTTTAGTTGGTTTTATCATTGTTTTTAAATTATTGCCTGTATGCAGGTAAGCTGCTTCCACTGAGGTGCCTATGGATAACTCCTACCCAGTGTAAAATGTCATGGGTTGTTATCTTACCCCTCAGTTTTTGGCTGCTTTCTGTGCAGGTGTGCTGATATTTATTGACAGTGTAGGTGATTTAATGGCACATCCAGCTTCCAGAGATGAAAGGGGAGAGGAAATGCTTTGAATGCTCCAGCTTCCAGTTTGTTGTTTCTAAAAGGATGTAAGATAATTGTCTATTTCTCATTCTCAGTAGAAGACCTCTTCTGACTGTCCTGAAGGTCAGTGGAGAACTAAATAAAGCACTGCCAATGCTAGTAATTCATGTCTAGGCTGGTCTCACAGACTTGCCTCTTAATTTTTTACATTTTGCTGGGAACTCACAGCTGTTTTAAGAAACAAATCTATTTTAGGGTACTTCTAAGTGTGTAGAGACAAACAAGTTTAATAAAAAGTTTAGGATAAATTCCTTTATTGGTATGAGTTTTAGATTTAAATATAGGCTTTTTTTTTTTTTTTTTTTTTGAAGACAACTAGTCTCGGCTTGTTGCCCCAGGCTTAATGAGTGAGTGCCGTGCGTCATGTCCTAAAACTTCACCAGGGGCAAAACCTTCAAACTCCTTGGGTTCCCAAGGCCAATTTCCTTCTTGCCTTTTCAGGCTTCCCCCAGTAGCTGGACTTAACAGGCATCGCCACCATGCCCGGCTTAATTTGTAATAAGTGGCAATTATTTCTCTAATTATAGTAAAAGATTGGGTTCTCGCTCTTTTTCTTCAGGGCTGGGTTTCGACTCCTTGGACCTCGAAGCAAAATCCCGCCCGGCCTGCAGCCTCCCAGGAGAGCCTTAGGATTTATAAGCGGTGAAGCCACCGCGCCGGGGCCCCAAAAAAATTTTATCAGGCTTTATTTGAGTAATAAACCTTTTTGTGGTTTGGGGTATTATAAAGAGATGCTATCCATACATTTCAAAAGGGAAAACAAAACTTACCATTTTTCTATTGGGGAAGTCAAGTGCTTTTTGTAGGTTCCATCCACCAACATTAACAATTTAAAATAGGGATTCAAGAAGTTTTCATAGAGTTTTTTAACCTAAAAGGAATAACAAGAAAGGATAAGGTTGGAATGATCTAACTACTATATTTTTAAGTGGCAGTGGCATTATAGCATTTGAGTTTTCTGATGGTCAGAACTTTTTTTTTTTTAAAGGATTCTCTGTTTAAACTTTGCATTTCAGTTCTTTAAAAAGTTCTAAAATTTTTTTAGGGGAATAACTTCAATTATCATGGACATTATTAAACAATAAATAAATAAAGAAATATAATAAGCCAATTAAGATTTTCGGAAAAAAAATTTCTTTATTTTTAAAAAAATTGTGTTCCAAAAATTTACATAACAAAGGGCCCCAGGGCAAGTGGGCTTTCATGCCTGTAAATCCCAGGGCCCACTTTGGAAGGTTTTGGAAGGTCGGGAGAAAATCAACCTGGAAAGCCCAGGAGTTTGGAGGAACCAGCTTGAACAACAAAGAAGGACCTTGTCGTATAATACATAAAAAAAAATAAAGCCATACGTTGGATGGTACAACAACTCTTGTAGTTCTAAGTCCCAACTGGGAAGGAGGTTGAAGGGCAGAAGGGGGATTTTTTCTTGGACCTTGGGGGGGACTGGGAGATTTTACCAATGAGCTATGATCCATTTTAACTGCATGCAGCCTGGACAAAACAGAGCAAAAGAAAACCCATCTCAAAATATATATATTAACATTACAAATGGATCATATTAAAAAACCATTTTTAAGGTATATTAGGTTTTTTCTTTTTTTTTTTTTGAGAACCAGGGAGTTCTCCTTGGTTTTTGGCCAGCTAAGAGTGAGTGGCCTGGGCGTTTCAAGCCTCGCTTTCCACAAGCAACCTCCACTTCCTGGGCCGGAGTGGATTTTTTCCTTTTTTTTCTGCCTCAGCTCCGGGTGTAGCTGGACTAAACAGGCCATGCGCCACCATGCCCGGCTTTAATTTTTTTTAATATAATTATCAGTTGCCAATTATTTCTTTTCTATTTTAGTTAAAACGGGTCTCGCTCTTGCTCAGGCTGTTTTTCGAACTTCTGGACCGTTGAGGCAATCGCCCGCCTCGTCCCTCCAGAAGAAGCCTAGGATTACAGTGTGAGCCACCGCGCCCCGGGCCTTATTAGGTTTCCTTTAATAGGCATTTAAAATTAAGATATGCTGTACATAACATTAAATTTATAATTTTAAAATGTATACCTCAGTGGTTTTTAGTATATTCACTGTGTTGTACCTTATCACTAATTCCAGAACATTTCTGGAAAACCTTATACCTATTAGTGATTTGTCTCAATTACTCTCTTTCCCCATGCCTGGCAACTATTAATTTCTTTCTTTATGGATTTATATATTCTGGACATTTCATATAAACAGAATCATATAATATTTGGCTTTTTGTGTCTCATTCTTTTCACTTAGCATTATGATTAATTCTTGTTATAATATGTAACAGTACTTCATTCCTTTTTTGTTTTTTTATTTTTATTTTTGTTGTTTTTAGAGACACTATCTCACTCTGTTGCCCAGGCTGGAGTGCAGTGGCACAATCACAGCTAACTGCAGCCTTGAATTCCTACATTAAAGTGATCCTCTTGCCTCAGCCTCCTGAGTAGCTAGGATGATATGCATGCGCCACCACATCTGGCTAAATTTTCTTAATTTTTGTAGAGACAAGAGCTCACTATGTTGCATAGGCTGGGTTCGAACTCCTGGCCACAAGTGATCCTTTCATCTGGGCCTCCCAAACTTTGTTCCTTTTTATGGTAGACTAATATTCCACTATGTAGATATACCACATTTTTTATCCATTCATCAGCTGATGGACATTTGGATTCTTTCCACTTTTTGGTTATTATGAATAATGCTGCTATGAACATTTGTGTATAAGTATTTAATTGAAGATAATAATATATAGAGAAAATGAAAATGTCTTCTCTAAGTTTTCTCCAAACAAGTAAACCCACTGTCTTCAGTATTCTTCCCTTTTACACTCTTCCATGCCGTAAATATATTTCCTCACTTAATTCTGCTCCTGAAAATATATGCTCTTTTTTCCCACAGTTTTGCACAAAGATCCAAGACAGGTGTATCTTTGTCTTCTTGAAATTGGTCGAATCGTGTCAAGGTATATATTATACAATATTTCAGAATTTCAGTGTCAAACATTTTTTAAACTACCTAATATTAGCTAAAAACACTATTGTCTAGAAATAAAATAATTCTTGATTGAAATAAAGTAACCTATTTTCCTATTTTATCCTTCTTTTTGTTTCTTTATTAACTTTGTTCTATTTGCATGAGCATATGTCAACATCTGCTTTCTCAATATAACTTGCCTTCATTTAATATTAAACTGTGAAACTGCTTACTTAGTTTTTTTAGTTTAAAAATAGGGCAAGAGCATGTAGTCTTAAAGCAGTTCAAGGCAAAGAAGGTCCCCTGAGCACAAAGAAGGCCGAGGCTTGGTGTCCCCCATGCATACTTATCCCCATCTTTACTCACCAGCTGATTTTACAGCTGCCTTTCAGGATCCCAGGTAGAATATTGGAAGCATCCATTTACCCAAATATGTGCTATGATGTGAAGATTATAATCAATTTTTGGCAATCTATGAGACATTAAAAAGCATTTCCAAATGTCCCAGTGAAACAATTGGTAGAAGAGAATCATACAGACTTTGCTTTAAAAGTAAAATATAATCTATCTTGATATGCAGGGAAATGCTTGGGTCAACTTTGCTTGAATGATCAGATCTCCTGGTTGGTTTTCAGATACGGGGTTGAGCCACCAGTATTAGTAAAACTTGAGAAAGAAATTGAATTAGAAGAGACCTTGCTTAATACTTCTGGGCCTGAAGATTCCATCAGCATTCCAAAATCGTGCTGTCAGCATGAAGAGCTACATGAAGCTGTAAGTAATCGCCACATGATTTTTCTTTCTTTCGCCCATGATGTCTTGAAGTCTCATAGTTTTATTGCTACAGGTGATACTATGTTTAAAAGAAAGTGTTTCTTTCTTTTATCAAGCCATTGGGATATTGGTATATTCAGATATTTGGTATATTCAGAATATACACCAGTACTATATTCTACACTCCCTGATGAGTTCAGGGCTCTATATTTTAAGGTGATTTCTGTTGTGTGTGTGCGATGAGGACTGGATGTATAGTTGAGGAGTGGTGGGCAAATAAGCTGGAACCCATCCTGAGTGCTATAGGCCATGAGAATTCATTAATTCTTTTTTTAACATGGTAGTATTATAATCTCATTTATAAATTACAATGATTCATTATCTTAACAGAATAATCATTTTATGTGATCATAATAATGATAATATTATATCATTTTATGTGATATAATAATCATTTTATGTGATCATTATGATGATTATGTAGCAACAAGAAAAATATTTATTTTGTGAAAAATTTGCCTATGTAAGACAAGCTATAGAAAAAATGAGTATGAAAATAATTGATGGTAATGTAGTACCTTTGTAGATTATTTTATTTTCCTTAGCTATTTCCTTTAGTGTTATAATGTAAATTATGCAATAAATAAAACCAAAAGAAAGCATTGCTTATCCACAGCTCTTATTTCTTTCAGGCTCACTCCCTCGTTTAGATTGTGGGTTAGTGCTGATTTGTACTGCTCAGTATAAGTGGTATTTGGATATTTTAAACAAGGAAAATAAAAGACTTCTCATATCTACATTCTTTTATAAAAACAAATAAATATACATTCAATGCCTACCTATAAATATGTGATCTACAGATTTTTGGGGGTCGTTTAAAATAAGGAACAAATATTATCTGATTCACCATTTAGGGTCCTGTTAAAAAGTATACAACTTAAATTCTGTATACTTAATGAAATTTTTACAGACAGAAAGTAGTGACTAAAAGAAATATCTTCTTTCAAATTACTTTGATCAACTAATGTATATATATGGTTCTAATCATTGTAACTCTTTACCTGAATTTAGTTTATTTTTAACCGTTTTATGGATATGGTATGTATATGAATGCACACATATACTCAGGCTATGAATAAGACAAACTTGATTGAATGACTTGTGAAAATCAGTTCTATTTGTTAATAAACATGTTACCTTATTTGATGAATGATACAGGAAAATAGACAAACTCTGAATTTTTTAAATTAGGCCCTGGTAAATCCACAAGTGTCCATTCATTTGGGAAAGGTATTTAAGACAATCATTTAAATTTCTATTAGTGCTCAGCTAATTTAGGCATATCCAAAGAGACTTTCTTCTATAAATACATCATGCCTAAGTTCAATTAAATTAATTTGTTTAGATATACTCTGTGTGACAGGTAATTGAGAAAAATATTCATGACATTGCTTTTTCAAAAATGTAATTTTAGGAAAAGCCAAATATTTTCCGCAGTGGTTGATGTATGTTTTTTTTTAATCAAAGATATTTCAAAAAATATCTTCATTTAATCAATTTATTTTCAGTTCCATGTTTTAAATATAGAATTCTTGAGTTTCTTTTTATATTTACTGCAATTTTACTATTTTTAAAAATATTATATTTACTGCAATAAAATTCTGGCTGAGCTCTGTAGTTTACGCCTACAATCCCAGGAACTTGGGAGCTTGAGGTTGGAAGATCACTTGAACCCAGCAGTTTGAGACCAGCCTGGGCAACATCATGAGATGCTGTCTCTAAAAAAATAAATAAAAAATAAAAAAATTAGCCAGCTGTGCTGGTGCACACCTGTAGTCCCAGCTATTCGAGAGGCTGAGGCAGGAGGATTGCTTGATTCCAAGAGTTCAAGCTTGCAGTGAGCTATGATGATGCCACTCACTGCCCTCTAACCTGGGTGACAGAATGAGACCATGTCTCTAAAAATAATAAAAATAAACATTCTGTAAGCTTCTTGGGTGATCGAAGTAGAGTTTCCCCTGAATCCCATCTCCCTAACAGGCTATGGAAACAAAGCAAGCACTTTTAGAAAAATCCTTCTTGAATTGAAATTTTAAAGAATTTTACTCACTCTTGGCAAACAGATGTGAATATATCTCTGCATATTTTAACACTAAATTTAAACAAATCTAGATATTCCTCTGCAATATTAGTTTGGCACAATGTTAAGGGATAAGCGAAAATTAGTACTTAGCCTTTATCCGACTGACCTGACTTTGATTTGGCACAGATATAGTAATTCAGGGCTTAAAACAATTCAAGCTAAATAATGAACTCATACGTTTTCTAGAACTCAACAAATGTGTTTTTAAATGACTTCTCTTACATGTTTGAAGACCTTCTTTTATCAGTCAGTTGTATTAATACTCACTGTGAGCCTGATTGCACTTGGGCATAAAGAGAGAGATTCAGACTTCATCAGTGTGTGTTTTTATGTTAGATTAGCAACGTCTAATCTCAGTATTTGTTAACAAGCAAAGGAGAAGAGATATTAAATAGCTGAACTGCCTTTGAACTTTTATCTTTGAGTTTGATTTTCCTAGCAATCAAATAACATTGCATTTTGATTTTAAATAAAATGCTTTTTGTAACAAGCATTGAATTCTGTTATTTGTGTTTAATCTCAGGTTAAACATATCGCTGAGGACCCTCCTTGTAGTTGTTCGCATCGGTTTTCTATTGAGTACTTATCTGAAGGACGGTACCGCCTAGGGGATAAAGTTCTCTTTATAAGGGTAGGTCTGTTGTTTGCATTTACATCTTATTTGCATATAGATTTTGTTTTGAAATTGGGTTGATTGCTTTATCAATCTCCTTTTGCTCCCCTTTTACTTTTATTTTTTTATTTTTATTTTTATTTATTTATTTTTGAGACAGTCTCACCTTGTTGCCCAGGCTAGAGTGAGTGCCGTGGCATCAGCCTAGCTCACAGCAACCTCAAACTCCTGGGCTCAAGCGATCCTCCCGCCTCAGCCTCCCAAGTAGCTGGGACTACAGGCATGTACCATCATACCCAGCTAATTTTTTCTATATATATTAGTTGGCCAATTAATTTCTTTCTATTTATAGTAGAGACGGGGTCTCGCTCTTGCTCAGGTTGGTTTTGAACTCCTGAACTCAAACGATCCGCCCGCCTCGGTCTCCCAGAGTGCTAGGATTACAGGCGGGAGCCACCGTGCCCAGCCCCCTTTTACTTTTAAAAAAAAATTGGAATAGTGGCTACTATTAATAGAAGAATTTCTCTATACAGGAAAAATATAGAGTACTTGCTTTCATGAGTATATAATGAGTTTAGGTAAACATTTTTAACACAGCAAACTACTAACTTCAGGATAGCTAAGACTATTTAGACATTATATAATTATTGATTATATAATTATTTATATTTATAATTATTGATTATAATTGAGGAAAATAATCTTTTTCTATCCCAGGGAACTTATTCCATTTTTCATAATTTTCTAAAAAGAAATAATTTTCCATCATAAGAAGGAAAAAAAACAAGACAAAAACATCTAATGAGATTGGGGGTATCCATAGTAAGAAAAGGAAATAGAAACGTTGCAGTTTATAATAATACATACTTTGGACCTCAAGCATACAATCTTCCCATATGCTGGTATACATGTTCATTTTCTTCCTTTTTCTGATCTACAATTGGTTAATTTTCCCTTTGCTGATAAGGAGATTGAAATTTCACCTGTCAAGCATTCTGTCCACTTCTGATACAAGTGCTGATTTATTTTTAATTTAGAAAAATAATATAAAAGTATTTTAAAATATAATTTCACTATCCATATTTTCTTCTATTTCATACTGTTATTACTTCCCCAACCCCACCCAACTTACACAGAAACATCCACGTGCACTTTCTTTTAATTAGCTTTCTTTTTAAAGGCAATATGATATGGTGGTTCGCAGAGTGTAGAACTTAGAGTTAAAATTTGTGGACAACCTCATACAATTGTGCAGATTTGTCTACTGAGTGGACAGGGGCCTGAAATCCAGCTTGGGCTGTATTGGCAGAGTCAGGGCATGTCTTGTCCCCACCAAAGTGGCATTTGAGTTAGAGGCAGCCCAATGCATTTGAGGCCAGGCCATGCTCTGTGACTTGGACAAATTCCTTAATCTCTCAGAGCCATAATTTTCTCTTCTTCAAAGAAGAAGTAATAATAACTTTTTTTTTTTTGGATACTTATGCTTATGTTGTTCTTTCATGTATTGCATGTATATGATAATAAAATCATAAAATACTTTTGTTTGTCTCTTTTACTGAAGTAATAATAACTTATACCAAAGTATTTTAAAGATTAAATGGATGGAATACATATGGAAATAGTTTATTACATTGTAGAGTATAAGGTTTAGATCTTATCTTTCATAATTATTTTTTTCTTTATTATGAAGCATTTTTTTCTGTAAGTCCCTATTTCTCCTTTTCTCCCTCTCCTTCCTTCTCCCTTCTCTCTCCTTCCTTCAATATTCTACTCTTTATTGAATAATATTGCTCTTGCAATTTTGTATATTAATAACTTGGATTTTCAGGATGCAAGTTATGTGTAAATATCTTCCTTACAAAGTGGAAAACTTTGTATTGTTAGTGGCATAATACAGTATGAGTTAAATTTATATTAATAATATAAGAAAGAGATTGTCAATTAGTAGTGAAGCTGTTGGTAAATACTCTGAATTTCATAGATCACAGACATTACAAATTGTGACTGCTAATGAATTGTAATAGTAAACCTCAGAGTTTTACAGCTTTCCATTTTATTTTCTTTTGGGGGCAGATGCTTCATGGAAAACATGTCATGGTTCGCGTTGGTGGAGGCTGGGATACCCTTCAAGGATTTTTGCTTAAATATGACCCCTGTCGTATATTACAGTTTGCTACACTAGAACAGAAAATTTTAGCATTTCAAAAAGGAGTTTCTAATGAAAGTGCACCTGATTTGCCTGCCAGAACACCTCAGCCTCCTGAAATGAATCCTTTGTCAGCTGTTAACATGTTTCAGAAACAAAATTCAAAACCTGGCACGCCTGTTGGTTTTCCAAGGGGCAAAGAAAAACAGGCACGTCAACCAGGTACATTGCCACCATCATCTTCACCAAAAAGAGGCAATTTGGGCTCAGTGTCAGTCCGTTCTAAATTTCCAAATGCTCTGGCAGCATCTTCTCATCCCAAGCTCAAGCCTTCCAAAGGCATAACAAAGAAACCACATGCTCCTTCGAACAGTGTTGCTTCTTCAAATCCAGTGGGTAAAAACACTTCTTCACCAGCTTTCTCAAGAACTGTACCCTGTGCATCCGAGTCACTGAGAAAATGTATGGCATCCCCCAGTATTCCCAAGGCCAAAGTTATTCCAGCCAAGAATTCAAGAGATCTGCCTGATTCTACACTTTTGCCAAGTAAGTGTTCTGGAAAAACGGAACCAAAGTATTTGAAACACAATCATATTTCTCCCAGGGATGGTGCAGCATTTCACTTAGCTGCACATTTGAATTCATCCAAGTGCCCCAAGCTACCTGAAGCAAATATACACGCAAGGCCTAAACCTTCTCCTTCTTCCCAGTCCTCTGCAAAAATGACAAAACCTAGTTCCAGAACCATAGCCACAGGTCCAGGAACGCGGTCTCAGCCATCTCATAGAGCCCCACAAGCAAAGCCAATCCCCGCACAGAAGCTTAAATCAGCCTTGAGTTTAAATCAGCCAGTTTCTGTATCCTCGGTTTCTTCTGCAAAAGCTGCACAGGAATTGAAAGACAAGAATATAGTTTCAGTTGCCAAAAAGCAGCCTCAGAATAAAAGCACATGCCAGAAGAAAGGACCCAGCTTCTCAAAGTCTCCTGGCCGTACCCCACTGTCCATTGTGAGCGTTCCCCAGTCTTCTGCCAAAACACAAACTGCACCAAAGTCAGCACAGACTGCCACTAAGGGCCAGTGTTCAGCTAAAGGGTCTTCAAAAAGTAGTAAAACTCCAACGTCAACCAGGAAACCACCCTCATCTGTTAAGGAAACAGAGAGTGGAGATAAAAAACCTACTGCAAAGAAAAAGGAAGATGATGACCATTATTTTGTCATGACTGGAAGTAAGAAACCTAGGAAATAAATACGTATGTGTCATTTTAAGAAAACAGAGGAAAGGAAGAGAGTGAATGTGTTAGTTTCACATCTTAAAAGTTTCTCCTATTTGTGTTTGTCCAAATAGGTGCAGACAGTAAGTACAACACGATGGGGGTTGGAGGTTGGAATGAAGAGAAAGTTCATTAGAATTCACCAAAAGTGCTCTTCTGAGGCCAACAGTGTAAAATCACCCCAAGATTCTTATTAATCATAGACATGTATATGATTTTCAATCCATATCGTTTTTGTTAGTATCCTACCTTGAAGGGAAACAAATAACACTACAACAATTATAACTACGGTTGTTATATTTTTGAGTATGTATTAAATGTGGAGTTTATATACCTGCTAATGTTAACAGTGGTGCTCTTACTGTTAGTTAATTGCATTTTAGTAAAAAAAAAGCAATGGTTTGGCACTTGTCTAACAAAAGGCACCTAATTTAATTTCCTGGGCAGGATTGACTGATCCACCAATACTAAGTACCAATGGCTGCTGCTGATTAGCTTGGCACTACTCTGAGTTAGGTGTAATTCTTATTTAAATTTTTTTAGGCTTTCCAAATCAGAAGGAACTGATTTTTTTACTTGGCATATATGAACATTGGCAATATTTTGTTACCAATATTTTTGGTAAAAAACAAAATGAAACCAAAAAAACCCAAATTATTGAAACCAATTGTAATTTGGTTAAAACAATTTTTTAAAAATATATTATTTGTAAAAACTTAAGACACCTTATAATTTAGATGGATGTTGTGCAATGTGACAGGGGAAACTGATTTAGTAGCTTTTATCATGTTAAAAATAATTTTTAATAGTGTCATTTCCTATGAGTGCAGATATAAATTTTTATGTTAAAATGTTTTAACATCAGAATGTTTTAACACTCTTAAAATTAAGATGCTATTAAAAGGAATCTTAGAGTGATTTATGTATAATAAAAATTCTATCATGAGATTATTTTTCTTTAGATAGCACAATACCAATTTTAATTAGTTTCTTCTAATTATGTTAATTTTCTTTCATAAAGTCCTGCTGTCTCTAGTTTTCCAATGACAAGTGCACAGCACATGGGAAACATTTTTTGCTCTGTAGGCAGATTCTCTCAAGAAACATATCCAGATCATGTAATGACTGCATAGACACCATCAACCTAAAATGATACCTGTAAATAATTTATTTTTTAAGGGATTGTGACTATTTAGAATCATTAATGTACTTTGAGAAATTTTAAGGATGTTTTTAATAACTTCACAGTATTATCAGTTATCACAGGTTATTCAGTATTGAGGTTTGTGTTTTTCTATTTGTTTTAGTGTTTCCTAAAGAAAAAATAATAGTTTACACAAATGTACAATCATAGAAAAAGCATTTTAAGCTGGCTACTAATGTTTTATAGATTTTAAAGCAAAAAAGCTTCATATAAAAGTAAGTGATCTTTTGTCTGAGGAGTACAGTTAAAATCAAAGATATTTGCCAACTAGTTTTGGGAATAATTCATGCTTCTCTTCATAAAACAGGGAGTCCCCAAATATTTGGTTTAGTTCTATTATTGATCTGGGCACTGAAAGAGATAATGTTATAGTAACATCTTTGGAGAGTGAAATCAATCTTCATGCAGTGGTAGAAGCTTTACTTTTTTGTGATCAAAAATATTTAATGTATCTTTTAGAGAAATAATTTTACCATCCAAAAGGAGTTTATTCCCTTATATGACCAAACAATACTTCTGTATTAGTAACTTTTAGAACTTAAATCAATAAATAAATGGTATGATACCCAAGCTATGAATCCAGGTAGATTTTACACTGTGTAATTTACATTGTTAATAATGTGTAAACATTAAGTTTTGTGTTGAGAATAATCAGGAATAAAAGTATCCCACAGGCATCTGGCACAAATTCCAGAATTAACCAAGAATTACTTATTTGAAAAATTGGAAGTCAATTTATAAATAGTTCTATTCTTCAACAGTAGGGAATTTCTCCAGTTACATTCATGTGGGATGAATTTTTATTTATATATAGCTTACCCTTCCAAAATAAAGGTTTAGTTTGAATAAACAATGCCTGATAGATGATTTCTTCAAATATATTTTTAAATTTTCCTAAAGAGCTAAATTTTCATTTTCGCAATTTTTAAAACAACTCTTACATTGTTGATGTTGGAAAGAAGATTTCATTTCTTCTTAATAGTAGCGCAAGATTTTATAAGTTCTTTTTTGTGTTTAATAAAATGAGTATTAAGTTTAAATTACTCAAGTACCTGGGAGAAGAAATAATGTATGCTTTCAAAAATATGGAATATTTTTATTTTTCTTTATTATAATTTGTTAATATAACTAATATATAAAAGTAAACTTCAGAGAAAAATGAAATGCTGATTATTTTTACACTGTTTGGGCTTAGAGTAGGTGTTTAATGCTTATGTCTTCCAAATGCCTTGATAAATTAGATGCCGTCTCACTTTCATCTCTATACTGAGTTTATAATTCTTAATGGATAAGGGACGTTTTATAAGGAAAAATTGTTGTTTCTACAATCTTTTTATCTCTATTTGATTTAAAATCTGTTACCTCTTTAAAAGGCTTCAATAACAGGTTGTCATGTTACATTCTTATATCCACGTTCATGTACTGACTCCACTTGAATTCACATTTGTTTATATTTTCTTGTGCCAGCAGTATTTGTATTAGATTTTAACTTATATTTTCTGAAGTATTAAAATTTAAACATCTACACCAAAGTATCAATTTGTTTTTTTGTTGTATTCTGAATAACATTCTGTTTGCTTGATTCATGTAGGAAATTCCATATATGAAGCATTCATAATTTGAGAATAGTTTTAATCCTATTGCTATTTAGAATGCCCTTTTTATATTTGTGGAATTTATTTCACTGCACCCAGGAGATTATAAGGCCTTGCCATTAAGCAGCAGTTTTTGTATCCTACATTGCTATAGCTGCTACATATTTGTTCTAGAAAGACCAGTCATATTTAATAATCTTTCAGATAACAAATAATTTATCAGTTGTTAAATAGAATTCTGTAGATCACACAAGCATTGTGTTCACAGAAGTCTACTGATAATAGGAACTTTGACTTTTCAATTCCCATAATCCTGTTATAATTTCACACTTTGATACAGTGAGGATATTCTTGAACATTCATCTTTTTCCTTTATTTATGACCAGAGCAATGACAAAATACAGTTAATTCAATATGTATGTCCTGTCATGTTTCCAAAAAGAAAACAGAAAAACACAACTTAGACAAAATTTGTGTTATATTTTTCTAACCCTTTGTGAATGTAAAATTATTAAACAAACTTATGAAATTTTGGGGAATGTTAGGAAAATATTAACAAAACATTTGCCAGTTAATCTGAAAATATAAAGACATTTTACTAAATTTAAGCTGTTTTCCTGTAAGTATACTCTTTTGTTCTTTTAGAAAAACACAGACTCTATCTTGAGGAATTATTAAATAATACATGCAAAGATTTAACTATAAGGATATAAATTTTAGCATAATATTAATATTGGTATAGCCATAAAATAAAATACCATGAAGTCATTAAAAATGATGTGGGCATTGACTTATATTAAAAGTATTAGATATGGTGCTAAAGTGGTTTGTTTTTAGAGAATGCAGGGATGACACATTCATATGTATGTAATATTTCTTAATTTTCTGCATTTGGCAGAAAAATTAAGCACAGCACAGTACCTGTTACATGGTACATGGGCTCAATAAAAGTCATCTATTATAATTAACCTCATGTGGTTAGTCTTTTAGGGTTTTCATTTGATTTTTATTTACTATGATCAATTTTTATAAATTTAATAATTTATTTCACAAATTATATTGGAATGAACAAATAGAATGAATTAAAGTTGGGTATGACTGTTGCGGACCTCTAGTAGTGAAATATGCCCATAGTGAGATACTTTTGCATCTGCTCAAACCACCATTTATTAATGGAGGATGCTATGGAAGACAGGAATAAGACGGTCACTGTATTCAAGAATCTTAGGTTTATATAGCACTTTGCAAGTCACAAAAAAGTTTTAGTTAGATAGCATCCAACCTTCTCAATTCTATGAAATGAGCCTTGTCTTCATTCGAATATAAGCTCCATGAAGGCAGGAATTGCATCTATTTTGTTTACCGTTGTGTTCCCAAAGCTTAAACCAATGCCTGGCACATAGTAGGCATTCAGTAGCTGTTAATGAATAAATGAAGGAATTCTCTTTTTACAGATGAGAAAACTGAGGCTCAGGAAAGTTGACAGTTACTCAGTGAATATAAAAATACCTACTGGAATTGAGTGATTGAATTTTATTTAAAGTATAAAATCATTTTACCTATTTATACTTTCCTACAAACTGTTGAGTTGCTCTTCATGTTAATATGATACAGAAAATAGGAGTTGTGTGGCATCTTTAAAAAACATCTGGACTGTCACCTGCTTTTTATTTCTTAGAAAAATCTTGATTTGTTTTTGAATTTATTATATATTGTAAGCTTTAATACCTAGAGATTAATGTATTCTTATGCTTTTAGTTTATTATTTATAAACCACTTTGCTATGTGCAAAGCACTGTTCTTAGAACAATGAACTATTGCATTCAATCCCCTGGACAATACAAAGAAAGGTGCTCTATAAATAATTTGGTGGATAAATGAATGAGAGAAAAATAAGTTAAAGCTAGCACAAAATGCCTATACAGTATTAGCAGTTAAAATCAATTTATTCATAGTGCAGTGGAAATGGACATTGGTAAAAAGGTCACCTATAAAACCTCCTTTAAAAAAAAACAACATTTAAAAATAAGTAATTGTCCTCTGAGTAAGCAGGTTTCATATGCTTCTTCCAAAAGGAATAAATTTCACTTTCTCTCACACAGAGCCTTGAAAATATGGTACAAAGCTGGGTTACATAGATCCCTTCAATAATTCATCACACTGTACTAGGTGTGTGGCAATACAATAAATAATTGT